TTTTAATAATGGCAACAAATGCTAGAAGGCACAATTCTGCTCAGAAAAGCATTACAGAAAAGGAGTGTTTCACCTTTTCTTGCTAAGTTGGAAAACTACAAATAAAAAGATCAAACAACCTACAAGAAGCAACCTACTTATATTCTTCATGTAACGAACCTATGTTGCTGATACATTCAGTTAACCTTATACGATATTCCATTTTGATGCAGTCTTTTGTTTTCTAATTGTTAATATTTTATATGAATGTACAATGTGCTATATTTTTTCTTTATGTACATTGAGAGCATATGCACCAAAGACAAATTCCTTTTGTGTCCAATCACACTTGGCCAATAAAGAATTCTATTCTATTCTAATTCTTATTCTATTTTATGATGAAAATATTTAGTAAAACCTGAGAAATCTGACATTCTGATGTAAATATTGATTGAATGTGACAATCCTGGGAGCAAGGCAAAATTATGTTAAAAAAAGTTGTGATCAAATCGACTGAGATTTCAAGAGTTGTGGCGATTTATAATTTAGCAAATCCAAGATGAATTGTTTACAAAGTTCTACAAGCTTTAAATACAATATTTTGATCAAACCTGTTTACTGGGTACTAAGTAGAAATGATTTTGGGCTGTAAGGCAATCATTCATTTCTAAGCAGTAAAGATACAAACAAAATGGGACTAATCCCAGTTAGGGCTTTGCTTATCTGCTGTTGGAACCACAAAAAAAACTACTAGAATTTTATACATCTGGTCCAATTTAGAATTAGTACTGACTGCCAGAATGTTTCAGTCATTCCCATTTTTCCTACTAATATAAAACAAAGATTCTAGTAGAACAACCCATCTGCATCCTCTGTCTCTATTTTTGCATGGAACTATTCCTATGAAATTGCTTTGGGTTTTGTTTTGTTTTTTGTTGCTCAAGGAGGAATAAGTAACAGAGAAAATTTCTGGAACCTGATTGATTAACAACAACAAAGCTGAAAGCATGGAAAATATTAAGGATTTCTCCAACTCTAAAACATAATGTTCTTATGTATTTCATATAAACTCCCACATATGACTTTAGATTGAGGATCTATCCTTAATTCCTATTTATTTACTTCCTCTCATATTGAAGATATCTCACTGCACTCCTTTTCAACATATCATGTAAACTGTGAATTTTGTCATTTCCTGGAGCTGTTCTTTTTAGGGTAAATTGCCAAGTAGCACTTTACATTCCTATTAGTGGCTAACTTGTATGTCTAGAGCATATATTTTCATTGATACAACAATCACACACTTGTTATCAATGTAATAATATTGTCACTGTAAAGTAACCAGTTTTATAAATCTGTCCAACCCCGTTAAGTGGTTGAAGACAGCAGAATGTTCTGATGAAGGGCTATTTTCAGGTGCAGTTAGGTAGATTTTGCCAGGAAGTCAATTAAATTGAGATACCTCAAAAAAAAAGCTTGTCATATGAATTTAGAATAATCTAAGAGCCCTATTGTTTTAGTTTTACTTGTATTATTTTAAGAAAACAGTCAGTCCTTACATAAAGCAGTCATTAGAAAGTGGATATATTAAGATTTATACTTACTATACTTTCTTTTTGGTCCTTGAAGTGCTACTGCAGCATCCCAGATTTTCAGCTGTTGCAGAATCCTGTGCTCATGTAATCATGATATGCAACCTTCCCCCTCAGCTTCCCAGTTAGTGGGGAAACTGGCATGAAGTCAGAAGTTGCAGTCATGTAGGGCTCTTACTTAACAACCTCAAGTGATCTGCTTAATAATGGTAACCGGAGACTTCTGAAACTGGCATTGTTAAGTGGTATAGTCATATGAAGTTGCACTTTATGACTGTGTTGTTTAGTGGCAAGAATTCCATTTCCAATTACTGTTATTAAACAAAAACTACCTGCATAACAAAGCTCATTTAGTGGACTCTGATTTAGCAAATTTTGGCAACTGACAAACAACATATAGACATCATTTCAAACAATAAATTCCATTGTAATGCAAGTAGACTGGATGATTCACATACATTTATATGATTTAAATAAAGATGTTTATGCAACTGGGATAATTCACATCATTTGCTTGTTTCACAACAGTGTAATTATTTGCAGTAGCACAAATTGGTGCATATTATGTCATTTCCATAATTACATAAATGACTTAAAGTTTCTGAAATAATGTACAATAGGATTTACACAAGGATTCAACATATTTAACATGTTAAATATGATGGAAGCACCCCTTCTGAAATGAACTGTTAACACTGAACTTTTACTGCATGCAAATAATTTATTAAACAATGCCAAAACCAGTTTATTTTAGCAATGATGTCATATCTGAACTGTTCTGAACTGTTCCATTTTTTTTATTTTCCATTCCAGGAAATGAGTCACATTAAAGGATAGATGTATAAGCAAAGGGCAATTGTTGGGAAATATTTAACTTAAAATAAATAAAGCACTTGGAATTCTAGTAAACTGCTGCAATATTCTTGCCCAAGATCAATTTCTGAACAAGTTTAAGTGTGTAGTTGCTCAGGAAAGAAATTAAATGCACCACTGAAGAATATGGAAGAAAATTTACAATCAGCTTGTTTCTCCCTAATTATGGCAATAATTGAGTAAAGCCCCTAGTGACTTTTACTAGCTGCTCCCTTTTGGCTCCTCTTAACAATAATAGTAGTACAACAAATCAAGTAGCTAAAGACACATATTTGTTTATAATTCTGATTATAAGATGCTAAGAATCACTCTTTCAATGGAAAGTTAAATGAACTATAGGTGTTCCCTGATATGTTTATCTCACATTGACAAATCAGGTAGAATAATGGGGCAGAACACAGTAACCTGCTTATGTAGAATAATCTGAATTATAAACAATATTAACTTAACATGTCTTGTAATTTAAGCCCCTATGAATAACCATATCCAAAGCCCAATTATTTTTATTATGAGATCAAGTGATAAGAATTAAACCAATTTATAGCCGGACTTAGTTCTTTCATATAGAATTGTACATTATTTTCACAAACTAGAACTCTTTATTTTTCCCAAATAATTGTAAGTAGTTATTAGCATAATATTTTGTAATATCAATACAGGTATCTTCAACAGCCATATATGCCATTTATTTACAAATTACTTCATATATTTCTAATTGTGAATATAAAATTATTTGAGTAATCTATGTTATCTATAATGCTGAACATATTCTCATAGTTTTGTTTTTTATGATGAAATTGGCTCATGTTTAAAATCACAAGACTGTATCAAATGAAATTATACTTTTTCCACAGCTAAAAAATGCTTTAAATAATATGCCACCAAAATTTTGAAATAAACTTTGAAACTACTTGAAGTCTAGGCACAACTATTTAGATTTTGCCATTTACACTTTATACAGTATATACAGAACTTGTTCTATTATCGCTCTGAAATCCATTTCTTTTAAGTTGCAGAGTTATTCTACCAGTAATGCAGAGTTTAAATCTCAGAACAAATAAGTTTTACTATTTTACTGTTCTGTTCTGTGAGCCTTTTTAGTTGAGAAGTTAATGATTTTTTAAAATAATAACAATAATAGCTTGGACACGTCCATCATTTTTTTTTTTTTCCTGACATAACTCAAACTATGAGGTTTCAGTTTGTTGTTTCAGTTTGGATACCATTCTGCTCTTATATTATTATTGCTTTGTTATTATTTTTTTCTAGTTCTGTTGGTTTTTGATCTTGTGTTCATTGCTCAGAACTGCAATTATGAGATGAGGAGCTATACAAATCAACTGATCGATTGCAACCCTTGGACCATCTTGTACAACAATGTGTTTTCACAGCAACCTACCAACTTCACAAGGATATTGTCTTCAAGCACATGGCCTTCAAAGCTAATATTGATCCCATAACTTTCATGAATTTGTGCAACTCCTTTCTGAAGCCATCCAACTTGGTAGCCAGCACTATGCATCTGTAATTTACATCAAAGGGAAAAGGCTCTGGATAAACATTTATCCAGCTCTTATCTAGATTAAGAAGGAATTATAGCTTGAGGCTTCTGGCATGAATGCCAGATGTTCTGATGTTGCCATCATGTTTTTCTCTAATAGATTGAATGAGTGGAAACTGTAGGTGAGAGATCTCACATGTGAATGCCCATCTATGGAAAAAGCAAGTTTATCTGAAAAAACAACATTACACTGAAAATTTATACTAAAGCACTGTCCTTTTATTTTGCAGCGAGTAAGGTCCATTTCCCTTTCAAAATTTGATTTCATATTAGTGTACACATTGTACTCACTAGTACTGGAACAAGGAAACAACTCTCAGCTAAAGTTTTCAAGAACAGATCAAACAGATCATGCGTGCCTTGATGGAAAAAGTGCAAGACTCCATATGAGATACCTTCACCTAGTGCCACAACTGAAAGTCTTGTATATTTAAGTGGGTTCTTAAGGGCTTCGGGGGGGGGGGGGGGTATGGATGCAGCTTAGATGCTTTTAAAATTTTGCTACATTCTCTAAGCCCTTAGAAAGGGACAACAGAACATGAATAGCATCATGTTGCAATTTGTACTTGCCTATTCAGATATATATTCCACAGCTTTTACCTGCGTTCAATTCTGTGCCGTGTCAATCTTCACTGCTGGTTTAATTTAGGTTGCCTTCATTATCCTATGACTTAAGAATAAAAATATGAACATTAATGAATGTTTATGAAGAAAAACAAACCATTACCCTTTCCGAGATAATCCCGCCGTTTAAAGTAAACCAACTCCCAGCTATATTTACCTAATATTCTTATGCGCGTGCTCAGTAAAGCTGGCGAAACCTTCTCTCCCCCCCCGCCCTTCCAAAAGAGCATCAGTTGTATTTTTTTCATCAGGCCACATCCTTGTGGGTACGGCAGCGGAAGCTTCTGCCCTCATTAAAGATGGCTAGGTAAGGAAGTCCCACCCCCTTATTCCTTGCACTATTATCGTGGGTTGGTGACTTCCACTTGCCCGATGGCGGAAGGTGGAACTTCCTGTTCTGACCGGGGCGCCAGTTTAGTGTGTGTCGAAAACTACGGAGTGGTTGGCTGGTGAATGACGATCAGAGTATCGGAAAAGGTGCTCTCATTGCTATTTGGGTTTGTGGGCGGGCATAGAAGAAGGCGATAAAACCGAGGTTGTAGCCGAGGTGAACAGGAAGAAGAAGGGAGAAGGAGAAAGAGAACGAGCCGGAGAAAAGCGTAAGGAAGGTGCCAGTGACCGGAGGATGGAAGCGGAGAAGATGGATGAGAATGAATGGCGATATCACGGGGAGGGCAACAAGAGCCTCGTCGTCTCCCACAGACAGGTAACGGCGCCGAGGGCACCCACCCTCCCCCGCGCGCTGCCCGTCGTTCGCCTCGCGCTTGTCTCGAGGCGGCGGCCAACGGCTCTCTGGACTCTGCTCTTTAGCGCTCCGCCCCCCCTCCCCATGGCTCCGTCTCTGCTCCGGCCGGCGGCACCACAGTGAACGCTAGTGAACCGGGAGGAGGAAGTCTTGTCAGTCCCGGCCGGTCCCAGTTCTTTCTTGGGGCATCTCCGTTCCTTTCCCCCCTCCCCCGCTCCTCATGCACAAAAAAAGCCTCCCTCCTGCTCCCCTCAGACTGGCCGAGCGCTGTTTCCGCTGCTCCCCCCGCCAAACTTGGCTTGGTGGGAAGTCGCCAGAGAAGCTGTGGCCGACGGGCTTTCGCATCCTTCGAACGGATTTTCTGCCTCTTTCCGCGCTCTTGCCAAGTGCAGTTTTGCGAGGGAAGAGGCGGCGGGGGGGTGGGGGGGTTTTGTTTTGTTTTTTGAAATAATTCTGTTCCACTAAAAGAATGCAGGATTTGAAAATGGTCAGCGCGGGAGGCAAGCTATCATCTATTTGGGAAAGTGTGCCTTGCGTCTCCTTGATACCCAGAGGAACAGCAATAGAGTAGAATAGAACAACAGAGTTGGAAGGGATCTTGTAGGTCATCTAGTCCAACCCCTCCCCCCCCCCAAGCAGGAGACCCTCCACACCATTTCTGACAGATGGCAGTCCAGTCTCTTCTTGAAAGCTTCCAGTGATGAAGCTCCCACAACTTCTGAAGGCAAGCAATACTCCTGATCCAGATTAAAACCGTTCACCTCGGCTCGGTGTCTGGAAAGTGAAGTTATTATAGTACATCATAAATCCAGAGTCCTTAATCATTATTACCGGAATTCTTGGAAAAACACCCAAAGTTGGTGTTTTTCACCAACACTAGGCTGAAAGCAAGACATTTAAAGCTGAATGCAAAGTGCCTGAGTCATTCTTTTAAAGCAATTGCATTTGACATCACAGGCTAAATATGTAGGGAAGCAAGCTGCTGTGATGTCCTAGGAGAGATATACAGTATTCAAATGATCTCTTATGTTTGGATCAATGTTCCTCTATCCAAAAATATTAAGAAAAATACTTTTTATGGAAAAGTCAAAATAATGCATAGGCCCATCTTGGAAGCTTCTGAGACCTGCCATGTCAGGATTCATTCTTTGGCACCTTTTTCTTTAAAAAGTAATGTACTGTAGAGGTTAATGTCTTGGGCTTAAACAGGCATTTTGCATTTTGTCAAATTACAAAATGCTGCATGACTTTGACATATGATTACATCTCAGCTTAGGAAGTAAACTATTTGTTAAATGAGGGGTTAGCCAATAAATAATACGCATTAAAGGATTCATGGCATTCTTATAATTGTTTACTTTTTTCAGAGGTCTTAAAACAAATGTAGGAGAAAGATGTACATTGTGGCTTTTGGAATTCTTTCCAGTCCTGTTATCAGCAATCATCTGTAGTTAGTTCTGTGTTACAATGTTTCTCTGAGCTCCCCTCATGTTGTATCTGTGTGGGATGTGTGCATTGGGAAACATGGGCAGGCTGCATATGCTCTGCTCATGTGACTGGGAAGAAGGAGGGAAGGGTTTTGCGTTAGAATAACTAGAGTCACTAAGTTTGGAGCCATTGCCCAATGGCCTCTCTCTGAGGCTTGCACTGAGGGAACTGTCTGAATTTTTTTCCTCTGTAGAAAAGATTGGCCCAATTTTTGAAACTCATCTTTGGGTTCTATTCTGCTTAGTTTGGGGAGGTTATTGTGTGGAAGCAGTGATAGGTTTCTGTATATAAATTTTCTTTCAAACACTCAGGTTATAAAGAATAAAAATAATTATTTTATGATAACTAACTTTCTCACTGAAAATCATATTAGAGTATCATTTCTTTGGCAAGTTTTTGGGAGGGGCAAGAAAACATATCCAGTAAAGCTCAACATTACATCCAGTTGTGATTTGTAAAGCCATAGTTTATTTTATGGAAAGAACAACTGATGACAAGCCATCATTAGTAAAATTGTGATTAAAACATAGTTTGAGTAATTCCCATGATTTGTGAAGCTGCATCCCCAAAAGTGGCTCTTTGTAATGGTTCCTTGAAATTCTTTACATGGATTGGAAAGGAAATGATATAAACAGTAGTTTACCTACTGTATTCATTATGAAGATGCATCACGATAACTAAGCTTAATAGCAATAGCACTTAGACTTATATACTTAGACTTATATACCTATTATATTTATACATTATACTTATACATAATGTTAATGATCAACTAATAGCATTTAAGTTTGGTTACTTTTCTAGTCACTATAATTTGTTTAAACGTTAATGGTCTTCTGTAGAGTAATGGAAAATAATTATACCTAGAGACATATATTTTACAAAGTAATTTGTATTTATTGACATTGGTCCCAATAGCGAAAGAATAGAATAAAAACAAAACCCAAGGGTGTACAGAGTTTGCATTTTATGCTCTAAATGCCTTAAGCTAATTCTGTTCTTTTCTTCGTAATAGAATTTGAACAGGCATATGTTCAGAGCAGGTTCTGCTGCTTTTTTTTCCTCCACATTTATTAACCTAACAAATGCCATTTCCTCCCAAGTATATATTTAATTATAAGACATCCAATGACCTGTTTGATCATCATTTCAGAGATATTCCCTTTCTCAGACAGGAAAACTGAATGACCACAGACGGACAAAAAAGCAATGGGAGAAGGAATCGCTTCCAACTTCCTGTAGGTTTCTCCATTGATTTTCCTACTGGGAACCTGACAGGGAGTGTGGAAAATAACAATCATATGATTGTAGCTGACTGTTCCATTGCTGAAATGGTCACAATTTTGCTAGGTTTCAATCCTAATGGGATTAATTAGCTCACTTGAAGTTCAGAATGATAAGGATTGTCCCTAAAACACCGCTTAATTATTCTGAACCTGCTGACAGGAACAAGTCATGTTCTGATGAGTTTCTCCTCATATCAACCAAGTGCTGCATGCTGGATAAAATGTATTTGCCTATATTCAACCTAAAAGAAAAGGGTTTTATTTTAATCACTTTTATATTAACTGAAAGCAGCCTATAGTTCAAATTAGCAAATCATATTAATTTTGCACTTTTTTTATATTCTAGCATTGCATAGTACTGCGCTTCTTGAAATTTCCTCCAAACCGAAATAAGGTGAGTTAGTTCAATGTTATTTCTTATTGTTTTTCTAAAGAGAGAGACTATTTGTTTCACATTGTATACCAAAGTAGGAGAGTTGTGTGCAACTGTACTATGTATTACTTATCATTTGTTTGCTGAATTTCTAGATAAAAACACGAAATTTGCAACTTGATTAAAATGTACATCGAAATCTAAGGATATCAACATTAGGTTAATCTTTTTATCCAATTAATAAATTATATTCTTCGGTTAGTAAATTAACATATACAGAATGAAATATTATTAAAGGTATCTTTTGATAATCCTTAACAAAAAGCACATGAACACATGAACATGTTTCTCGAAATATTATTTCACAGTAATTGGTTCAAATGGTTTCACCAAAAGAACCATTTTTAAATCATTGATATATAGCTTAAGACAGCTATTAGGAAAAGCCCATGTATAATCTATGAAAGCAATAATCCATTGTCGTTTTGCATGCTTATATATCTTTACTTCTAGTGAACCAACAAATATTTATCATTTGTAAATAAGCCTGATTCTGCTTTATAAATGTACCTGATCTCAGTGTGAATAATAATAACAATAACAACAACAACAACAACAATAATAAAATTTATGCATTGACAACATTTCCATCCATCAATTTCAAAAGGCCATTCTGCTTGGATCTGCCCCTATACCATGCTAATCAATTATGACATACCAGATTCTTGGTATTTGATGCATATGAAGGCCAACAACAGTTAAAGAACTGGCAGCTGTGCTTTCACACTTCGTGTATATAATAAATAATAGTAATATAATATAATAACAAGTTGTTGATTTTGAAAAACCATAAGAGAAGACAGACCAACTTGACTATAGTTTGGATTATTACAAAAAGGCATTCAATTCCCTGCCACTTGACTGGATCATCAAGTGCCTCAAAATAACAGGAGTCAGTAGAAACATCAGAAACTTTATGCAAAGATCAATAGAACAATTTCCTGGTCAATGCTGATAGATCGGGTCATCCTCCAGGCTCAAGCACACTAAAATCAAGAAGATTAGTAGTGAATATACCAGAAGAGTGAAGAAGATTTTAGAATTCAAACTCATTGGTGGAAATACCAGAAAGGCTATTAGCACCTGGATAATTCTAGTCATTAGATATCCAGTTGGAATGATGCATTAAACTCAAGCTGAAGTAGAAGCTCTGAATAGGAAGACCAGAAAATTAATGACAATGAATCATGTCCTTTATCCACGCAAAGATGTTGACAGACTCTATTTACCATGGAGCATAAGTGGGGATGGAATGTTGCAAGTACACCAGACAGTTAAAAGAAGAAAAAGGGACATCGGAAAGACAATGAACAAAATGCATTGAACATATTATACCATGAAGGCTTACTGAATACCAAAGAGACTAAATTAACATATAAGAAAGATGAAAGGAAGAAGAGAAAAAAACTATGACAAGGCAAAGTATTATATGGCACTGTGTTAAATAACTAGTAGGCAAAGCAGATAATAACAATAAAAAATAGTTGCAGCTCCGGTTGAAATGACAGGTTAGGGTCAGATAACAAGATCTGGCAATGGCTAAGAGCAGGAAAGTTGCAGAAAGAGGCAGAGGGGCTAATTCTCAGTGGAGAAGATCAAACATTGAAAACAAATGCATATAAAGCCAGAATTGGAAAGACAGCAACAGATAGCAAATGTTGCCTCCGTAAAGAAGTTGAAGAAGCAACAGGCCACCTAGTTGCTGCAAGAAGATTGCATAGACTAATTACAAACAATGGCATTCTCTATTGATGGATTGGTAAAAATGTTTATGATTCAACTGAAATTGGAGATTCTGCCTGTAATTCAAGCTTTGCATCTACTGATTTTCTTGGCTAGGGCTGTTATTTGTTGCTTTATTATTTCCAGTGCTTTTTTGATCTTGTCTCTAGATCAGGCCCAACCATTTTCCCTGGGTCACATCTGGCTTGCAGCATTGGCATCAGCATTGGAGGGCAGGGGTGTCAGCAGCATTGGGGACAGAATGGCATCAGTGGAGAGAGCGGGCGGTTGATGCAGCATCAGTGGGGAGGCAGCAGGGCATCATTGTCCCTCCACAACAGTTCCAGTTTCTCATATGGCTCCTTGGGAAAATTAATTGCCCACCTCTGCACTAGGTCATATTTCTTGATTAGGTATCAGTCTTGGTCTTCAGTTTCTTTTCTTCCATCTGTTTTAATTTTCTTGCACCTGATCTTAGTACTTTGATCTTATTTTCCAACTCAACATTCCATTTTGCTGATGCACTGTTTGGTTTATTTCTGCATCCAAGATCTTTAGTTATAATTGCATCTATGCTGTGTATCAGTTGTTTTGTTTCTTGAAATGAGTTGGTACCTATCTTTGATATAATTTTGGGATCATTTAATACTTGTTCAGGGAGAGTCATTTGATGTATTGGTTAAGAGATTAGGATATAAACCAGAAGAGTCTTGAGTTCTAGTCTCACCTTGGGCATAAAGCCAGATGGGTGATCTTAGGCCAGTCACTTTCTCTCAGGAAGGAGGAAAAACCTTGCCAAGCAACCTGCACGGACTTGTTCAGGCAGTCTCTGAGAATCAGGCATGATTGAATTGAAAAAAAAAAACCCTTTGGCTAGCTGTTTGTAACAAGCTTCAGAGCAATTATTTATTTCCAGTCTTTGTATATTTGCAACGGGTAAGCAACTTTTCTTCCAGTAGTCCTGCAGCTGCTTACTCTGGTTGTTCAGCCCCCAGTTGTGAGTCCTGTAACCCACTTACCACTAGATGTGCAGGAATTCCAACACTTAGTGCTAGCCTTGTTAAGCCAGGCAATAACTGATCTGGTTGACAAAATCAGTCCATAATGTAAAGGCAGCTTTAGTTGGAACAGCTTATATTCTTATGACAATATCTATAAAATTATTAATCAGCGGTGTCTTCCTAACCTAGTTCCTTGGGAAAGATTTGATAGTTAGACAAAAATATCAATCTACCATAAATATCTGGCTGACTTTGTGACCAACCATAATGATAAAATTTTATGCTGCCAGACTCCCAGAGATTCTGGGTGGTTTATTAATTGTTTGAAAACCTATTAAGTCAAGAAAAGAACACAAAACAAAAAAGATGGCAGAAACAACAAACCCAGATGGGAACAAAGAAAAAGAAGAAAAGCGGGCTTCAATGACAGTAAGACTGGTTCTGGGCAAAGAACCAGTCAGATTCTTGATTAAATGTAATCAAACAGACTAGGATTAAAAAATATTGACAATGCAAATGTTCAAGTTCAGTTATTTTTCCATAATGTTTTTGCATATAATGGCAAACTCAGGATACTAGTTTTTCTCTCTTACAGATCATGTCCAATATATCCAGATTTGTAAATCTTACTAGAGCAGTAAATCTTACTAGAACAATTAAATAATAATTGTTTCTTGAACAGTTCTAAAAAGCCTCCACAATTTCCTTTGAATTCTTAGCTATATATTAAAAGTATTGTAATTGTACTTATTAATGCTGTAAGAAAAAATGGGTGATATGCAGGGAAGCACATAACAATCCTAAAATTTAGGGTGATTGCTAAGTACTTAAATTTTTAACATGAAGACAGTGTAACAAATAGAAACTATAGAAAAGAAGAAAGGGAAAAAAATCAATTGGGAATCTTGCTCACTTGAGGTTGGATTTTGCCCTCTATTAAGGAATTCATGGGCGAAGAAGAAATGAGATGGCTACAGTTTACCAATCTAGAATTCTGTTCCATTGCTCTGTTTCAAAGTTCACACTCTCAAAGTTCACACTCTCATTTGGTTCTTTACGCATGGTCCGTTTATAAAACCAATAATAAAGTTCAAAAGGGACCTTTAATTTCATCATTTTATGTTAAGATTCTAAAATAAAATAAAGTTAGCATTTGTTCAGGCTAGTATTGAAAAAAGAAATTGTCTTGACAGTGCAAAAAGGAAAAGGAAAAAGAGGTTGTTGGCTCATGTCTACAGTACTGGGTTAAGTGCAAGTGGGGAAACGTTCTTAGTTGTCCCATCCAGATATCCATGGCAGTGACATGTTAAGAAACCAAGATATTTAGATTTTGCTCCTGTACTGGTTTCTCTTAAGGGTTTCCTTCATGCTAATTTAAATTTTTAGTAAATTCAAAAACTCAAAAATAATTGGCACCATTATTTTATAGGTGAAGGACTTGATTTGACCTTAATTTCTGAAAACCATATGGAAGGCCATATTTCAAATTTGTGCTTATTTTGCTATTTTCTTGATAGGAGAGATCTTCTGTGGCCTGAAGCGCTACAGGTACTAGATTTATCTAAGCATGCAGTTGCCTTGGACAAACTGTAACTTTCCAGAAGAGGTGAATTGACAATGTTTTCAATGAAATGCTTAGTACTGATGAATGTACTATTTGTCTTGGTGGATGCAATTGTCTCTGTAGGCATGGATTGGTACAAATATGAGGCTTCTTTCAGAAAAGAACAGCCTCTCTGTTTCTAATGTTAATTACTGCTGTCCTTACTGTGCTAATTGCAACTGTTTTGTTAAAGGGTATCCTACCAGACTCTATAAATATAGTTTGGAACAGAGATTTTGGTAAATGTTATTTGAGCTGATAGAAGTGGTAAAAAGTTCCCAATGTTGAAACATCTTTAAAAAGAGCAGAACAGACATTCTTTTTGGAGTACTCACAATATTGAGTACTGCGTTTTATTTTTTTGTTCAGTTTATTTGTCAGTTCAGCATAATATGATGATTCTTTTGATTAAGATTTAGTGGATTTTGAGTTCTTTCTAAATCCTTAGTCAAACCCAGGGGTGTCGAACTTGTGGCCTGCGGGCTGGATGCATCATGTGCTGACCCTGCCCCCGCCCAGTTTATGAAGGGGAAAAAAGTCCTTATATGTCATGTGATGCTGCCGTGATGACATGAGTTTGACACTCCTGGTTTAACCTCTTAAGTAAAATAAGCAATTATTTTTTTTATTGAGCTTCAGAACCTATGTTACTTATCCACATTTAACCTAGACACACAAAAGCCTGCTAGTATGACATTGACTTCTGTCCACAAAACCCAAAACATATTTTTATATTTTAAAGGTTTAGAAAATATGAAGCTTTCTTATAAAGACTGTATAAAATCATGTTTGAATTATTAGTTATATAATATGTTTTACATTCATTTAATCATTTCAATAAAGTTGCCTAAAGGTATATTCTGTAAGTATTCTATTTAAGTAAAATCTCTTTTGGGGTGACTTTCTTATCATTTCATGGACATATCCATGCTGCTTTTTTGGAAGCAATATGAAAGTGTTGGCATTGACTTCATTTGTGAAAAATTTCCACAATGTCTTCAATCTGGTATTCCCTTGAGATCTTCCCTTGAAATACTAATTAGAGCCAGTCACCCTTTGTTTCTGAGCCCAGGCAAGTCTACTGAGATGTTGCATCTTCTGAGACATTATTTCATGTACTGCTTGCTTAATTAGTCAATTAAGGATTGCCCTTTCAGAGGAACTGCTTTATTTTTGTTTCTTCTTATATTGCATTACTCTACCTGCCTTGCTACTCTTTTATTAGGTTTTGTTCACTTTGATTCTTATGTCTTGATCTATTTCAGAATGTCTGAATTTACTTCTGAATTTATGTCTGAATTCTCCAGAAGTAAGGCCTGATTGTTATCCAGACCAAAGAATTTATCTTTATAAGATGAATAGCTGTTATTTTGCTAAAGAATAAAAAATAATTAGAACTTTTTTATACATAGAAAAGGACTTCTGGAGCCAGAAACTAGTCTCTAACTCTTATACCACTATATCTGACAAAGGACTGAATTCAATTTTAAGGCAAAAATAGACTTTAATGTAGTTGTATTCAGAATCGAATTATTTAACATGTTCCAATCAAGGATTGAACCATACACAGAACAGGCAAAGTCCAGGAAGGAATTTGCGTTTCATATGGACATAGTCATAAAACATGTGTTCCAGGTACTGGTATTCTGAAATAAGGACAATTTTAAAAAAAGATATTAGAGTTTGTATACAGTATGCAATAACTAGGTGGACAAAAGAAAGGCATGGGAAAATAGAGGGATGGGTGAATGTGAGTAGGTTGGGTAGATGCAGCAGCAGAGCAGTGTGTGAATAAGGAGAGGCAAAAGAAAAGGAAGGTGTGGACATACCCAGGTATGAAGTGGACAGCCAGATGGATATGGTGCATTTGATTCCAAGTACATCAGTGCCACAGCGATGTACAGCAAAGATTAAAGAGGGAGTAGGAAAATTGAGTGAGGGGCAGTTGTACAAGCCTACCTTGCAGAGGAAGTGATGGAAGAAGGGTGAGATTCAGTAGCCTTTCCTTCTCACCTGGTAAGTGTCTTCTGGATTTGCCTTGGCCAACAGCGCAAAAGTTCCAGGTTCCACTTCAGCTGAAGAATGACTTCACTTGGAATGATCCAGCTGGACCACCTAGCCATAGTGTCCCATTAATGGGACAAAACATATTCTTCATTTAATATGTTTCTAATTTAGAGCTGATATTGCTGAGATGTTAAAGACAATATTTCAGGAATAATTTAAATCATAATGGTGCTCATTAAATCATTATGCTGACCTAAAAATACATGTTGTTAGCCTTTTAAAAATACATGAGAGAAGCTGCCACTTTAGTTTGCTGTTTCAGTAAAACTTACCTAATATTTTTGCATCTTAGTTTTTGCCATTTCTTATTGATTTCTTTTTCTATGAATCAGTGATACTTTGTTTCGTTTGGTTGCCATTGTTATCAAATTGCTACGCATACATTTTTAGGAGTTATAAGTTGTACACCCAGTTTATCAGAAAATGGTCTCTCTTACATTGTATTATTTCATAGGCAAATAATTGCAGTGTGTTGATTGTGTGCATCTACTAAAATATGTATGTTATAGAGATACAATTAGAGAGAAAAGTATGTTAGATAAAGGTGTGAATAATAATAAAAGTAAATATTTTCCCTTTTGCTGATAGGGAAAGGCAGTGTGATATAAATTTGTATTTGGTTTGACAATACAAAGAGTTGTGTTCTCTGCATATTTAAAATAATCTTTTTATACATAGATTGACAATTATTTGATCCAGAGTAGTTAGAATTTCTACCTGTTACTAATGTATATTTTCTTTTACTAATTATTTATGCTTGCTTTTTAGACACCAGAAGAAATATCTCATCATCTTCAGAACATAGTGTATTTTGGCAAACACATCATGAAGCACTTTTTTGGGGAGAAATATGTTCATCATGGGGTAATTATTATTTTATAAGTTTTTTAAATAAGCAGAATTTTTCTTTCTTTCAATGCTTTATAACCTCAGGTGATTGATTTTGAGACAAAGAAAAAAATATGTTGTTTAACTTCTATTCAGATCACATATATAGAAGAAGGAGCAGTGCCCAAAGCATCTATTGTATACATTCAGAATAATTGCCCTAAGTTTCTTGCGGTAGCAAGAGGAGGAGTGCTTGAATGTGGCTTTCCATGATTCTGCCATTGATCCTTTTTTAAGGAATGGGGTAGAAATTGTACATGATAAACTTTTTAAAAATATTGAGATTGTGGGTCATGAAATGTTTGGGTGAAAACATTTTGTGAATAAAAATATTACCTGTATCCTACTACCACATGAAAAGGTGTAAGATGTAAATAAAATATTATTGAAATATAAATAAAAAACCATCAACCATGTAATTCATAAGAGCAGAATTCAAAGGACAAGAATGCAGGCTTACCGTATATATTTCCCTCATTATCTTAATATTCATTTATACTGTACTTTCTACCAAGATATACATTTAAAGCTACTAACACAATAGAAGTAAAATAAAAACAAATCTTTCAAGCAAATACTTTTAGAACATTAAAATGTAGGACAGATATTCCTTGGCTTATGTCCGTTCATTCAATGACTGTTCAAAGTTACAGTGATGCCGAAAAAAATGGACATACAACTGGTCCTTAAATTGCAGCACTCCCATGGCGATGCGATTGCAATCTGGATGTTTATGTGCCTAGCTCACAATTACACAGCCTGCACTACCTTCCCATGATATAAGTACAGCCTGTGCCAGTCCTCTTAGACCCTGTCTCGGCCTCTCCTTCACCGTCTTGCAGTATCCCCATGTTCCTTACCCAGCACTCCCAACACCGTCTGTTTAAAGACCTGCACCTTTTGGGATTACAAGGCAACCGGGGCTTCTCTGGATTGCCATTACTAATCACATAATGTCACATTTTATTATCACTTCATTAAGTTAACCTCCCAGATTTCCTTATCTGTCTTTGACTTAGAGCATGTTTTTCTTTTCACCAGACTAACCTTGATTTTATTTTTCTAATTCATTATTAACATCAGATAAAAATCAACTCTATCCAACATATAAATATATTCTTGAAGGTATTATAAAGTTGATTTCTTTAAAAAAGAAATCTTCAAAAAGCTGCTTATTAAATATTATCAAAAAGGAAACAAATACAGGAAACTTATTTAAAGTTCACATTTGCTTAAAAAGACACCCTCCTGTGCCACTGCCAGGAAAGGGAGAGGAATTAGGGGACACCTTCTCTAGTCTTGTCCTTTAATTGGAAAGTTGAGTTTGGATGATTCATGCATTTAGTCTGCTTGCTCTTAACTGATAAACTTGAGAAGCTAAATATTTTTCAAATTTTGATTGGTTTTGAAATTGTGACCACATAAATATTTAGTAATGAGAGATGAGAGACAGATACAATAATGTTTAGTGTACAAGAAGCATTGGAATCAGGAATTACTCCCAAAATTATTAGATATTACTAAGAATATTACGTAATTGAAGGAGTTTTTGTGTTCCTTTTCTAGGGAGAGTTTGGCAAACATTATTATTCAAAGCTGACTATTGAGCTGAACACTGAACTTTAAGGCAGCATTCTCCCCTTTTCTTTCCCCTTTTCACCCAAGGTTCCTCAAGGCATGTTTACTCGGCAATCATCTTTATTTGAAAATAGCGTCATCTTGCTATGTGCACACACACACACAATCCCCCATAATCATATTTTATTATATAGTTTTTAAATTGTTTTACAGGGCAGACAATTATTACTGACTGATATAAAGAATAACTTCAGTTGAATCTGGCAAAATTCAACTGATAGAGAGGGGAAAGGAGGGAGGGATGGAGAGAGAGAGAGAGAGAAGATTGCTGGTTGCTGCTGTCTCATTTAAAGTTCTATCATGCACAATGCTAGTGTTATTCTCAGTTTTTACTCTCAGGAGCAAAAAAATAGTCGTAAGTGCACATATTGGTTGGAAAATGATTTTTATGCTACTGTTTACTACATGTTATTACCATTGTATTTGTGAACAATCATTATCCAAGTCAGTTGTTAAATGGGGATTATCTTTATTACATGGCTTACATATAGCAATAGGAATTATCATCAGTATAATAAAAAATATTTAAACATCATTTAAATCTTTTAGGAAGTTGTCCAGCTGTCTTTGGACTTTGTGAAACAACTTTGCTTAAAGATCCAGGCAGAGAGGCCAGGTAAGAAATAAAAATAATGGCACAGCTATCTGAACATAAAGTTGAAACAGTATTTTCTGAAACTTGACTAATCTCAACTCATGTGCAAGTTGATTCAGTTTTCTTAAAAAAAGTACAGAAATGTGGTTTGCCCTTGTCTTCTTGGTTTTTTTCCCGAATTTCCCAATCTTGTTTATTGCCCTGTTATTCCCTTGAAATCTTCCATACAAGGATTATTACTACTGCTGAATAAAAATAAGAAAATTAGCTTTATTTAGATTATAACCACATGATTCTTGTTTTGTGTTTATCACCCCAAATTTTAATGCTGTAATTACATCATGTGACAAACAGATCTTATGGAATTAATTTTTCAGTTATTAAAATAAACATTGGTGTTGCTTCAGTACAGGTAGTCCTCAACTTACAGCCATTCTTGTAGCAACTGTTCAAAATTACAATGGCACTGAAAGAAGTGTCTTACCCCCAGCCCTTGCAGTTAATGACCATTGCAGCATCTTTGTGGTCAGCTGATCAAAATTGACAACTGACATGTACTTACAATGGTTACATGTGATTGCCACTTGCAACCTTTCCAGCCAGCTTCCAACAAGTAAAGACAATGGTGGAAGCCACATTCACTTAATGACCATGTGATTCACTTAACAACTGTAGAGATTAGCTTAATCATAGCAAAAATTGACATAAAATTGGACATGACACACTTAAGAATCAGCTTGCTTAGCAATGGAAATTGTAGTCTCAATTGTGGTCATAAGTCAAGGACTACCTGTAATCTTTTCGTACAGTGGAGCTAAACAAACTGAGATTTCAGAATTATATATTGCCTTCTGAAAGTCAGTTCTTGAATCCCCCCAGAAATTTATTTATTTATTTATTGAATTTATTGCCTCCTATTCACCCATGACGACTTGAGGCGGCTTACATAATATATTAGATACATTAGATAAATATAAATTGCTAACAAATTTTAGTTAATGTGTTATATGGAGCAATAAGATAGGTTATATTTAGTATAATTTTAATTCAACCCATGTTGAATTATGCCAAATTTAACCTTTGTTCTCAAGCTACATTTTTGGAGTTTGCCCCTATAATGCTTCTTAGCTACCAAATATGTTTCTGAAAATGCTTGTGTAGCTTGATCTATTAGTATGTGTTTGCGTGTGTGTTTGTGTGTGTATACACACACACACACACATACACGCACACACCTATATATATTGGCTTCTCTTTTCCCCCCCGTCCCTCATTTCTTGTTGGAATTGGATTTTCTATTGTTATTGAGTGTTGAACACATAATTAACTTGGACACAAATACATTAAAGTTGTAATTGTGAATATATACTTACAGATTCCTCAGACATAAAAGTCTCTATTCTTTTAGAGTTTTCAGGTGGTATCTATGGAAAGTTATTCGGGACAATAAAAGCAGGTTAGGCCATCAAATGCATAACTAGTACATTTCCTCTCTCAAAATAACTTGCCCTTTTAAAAGAGAAAAATGTAGAAGTATAATGGTATATTGTTTGATGCTAAAGCCGGTTCAACTAGTATTTGGTTGCAAAATAATAATAAAAATCTCACACAGGCTTTGCTGCAACAGGAAGCACATCTCTTAAATATTTTCCCCAAAGTTGAGTCAAATTTTTCTTTTAGTTAATGGGGTATAATTTATTTATCCTATTATATTTTTGGATGAATAATTAACATCTCTTACATCTAATACATTGCATATTTGATGCTATGTATGGCATAGATTATTTTTTATTTCTGCTTTTACATTAAGTAGACACCTTTCTCCAGCATAGTATAAACCAAGGTCTCTCCTGACTTGAGTTAGATTGTGGGAAAATAAACATGTCCATATCGGTTGTGGTATCAATATGGAAGTGACCTACCACTGCCTTCTTTCTGATTTTCCCCCCAGCTTGCCTATAAATGTATGATTTCCTGATCTTCCATCCCAGACTTAATCAGGGCTGAGTTAATTAATCATTTAAATTTTTACGAATCATCCAAGATTGATTAGAAGATGCTTTTTTACTTTTGAAACAGGTTGATAATTCAAACCTTCTTGACCCTTAAGCCTGGCTAGAGTGCAGCCAAATTTCATATCATGATTCCAAATCCAAAGTAATTTTTAAGATCTTTTATTTTTCAAATAATTACTTCAGATAATTTTTAGCACAATTGCTACATAGATGCTGGATCACTTGTATAATTGAACAAAACCATATCCAATTACTTTTCTCCAAGAGTAACTTACAATTTTTATTGAACATTTTTACATGAATAAAATGCAACTATGAAAACATGAATAAAGAATAAACTGGGAAAGATAAAAGAAAAAAAAAGTATAAAAAGCAATACAGATAAAGAAGAAACAAAACAAAAAGATAATTAAAGAAATGACTTCTGATCTTCAGTGCAACATACTATCCTTCTTCCCTTTCTAAGATTACTTTGCAAAGATCCCTTGTACCCCATTTTCAGCCCTTTTTAATTTACAAATCCACAAATTACTCTTTTTTTCCATTTTCAACAAAAAGTCCATAAAGGGGTCTAGTCTTTTATAAAAGTATCTAAATTTATCTCGATCAAACAAATCAGCTGTATTGTCTTCACAGTCCATTCTTCCATTGCTTTTAGGAAACATTTCAGACGTGCATTTTAAAATGCAATAATATGCTTATGGTAAAATGCAAATAGCATTCAACTTAGAAAGGCATTTGATTGAAATTTGTTTTGGCAATTTGGGCAAGGTAATAAAAATAATTAGTCTCCTGTATTGAATAGCATGGAAAGTTTATGTGTGTTGAACACAATAGTAGGTTCTGTGTTTGTATTCCACCCTTCCTTCCTTGAAAGAGTTCAAAGCAGAAGTTACATACTCTCAACTATTTCTATGAGTCTGTGCTTATTTGGTAATTTGTGGAGATTTCATTGTGGGTTTCTCATGACACTACTAACTACAGAACGTTTTTTTTTTTTCTCAAAAAAAATTAAATGCCAATGGCTTATTGTTTTTTAGCTCTTTTAAAACTATCAAGAGAAGAATGACATTTGCCATACTTTCTAAAAATATTTCTCAGTTAATATGCTTTTATTTGGTATAGCCTGATTCCTTGTAGGGATTTGACTGATCATAGAAAATGGTATTAAAGAGAAGAATTCTGTTAGTATAAATGGAAGGGCAGGCCTGAGAGCCATTCAGATTAACTGTATGAATGAAGGAGTAATTGATGGTTGTGTGTTTATTTGTAGAGCTCAAAAAGATGGAATATTAAACATGGGTATAAGCAGTTACTTCTTTTTCTTTAGAATCACGCTGTGATAAAGAAATGGATGTTCTTAGTGGTTATGCTTTGTGCCTTCCTAATCTCACCAGGATGCATTTTGTTGAACATCGTCCTAAACTTTGTATAGAAATTAAGGTGAGTACATCAAGAATTCAATTCAACCAATACTTTGGGTTTACATTGTTGCTGTTATACCAGTTTCATTTTATTAGCAAAATGAATGAAATGTTAAACAATGTAGAAACTTAATTTCAGTGTTTTGTTTCCATTAGAGGAAGTAACTATAAAAGATGAAATGGCATTTTGCAACTTCTTTAAAACCATAGAAAGTTTTGAAGCTCATTTTAATTAGGCATAATTATTTAAAATAGAACTATAATATAGGACACTTTGCATACCCTGATCCTGATGGCTACTTCTTACAAAGGAGATAGAATGAAACAGTGTTGTTAGAGTGATTTTGTTCCAGTATTCCTCCTTGATGACATCAAATACATAGAAATTCTTCTTTTTGGGTGGCATTTATGCAGATTTAAATGTTTGAAAATTTGAACAGTTAAAAGTGTTACAGCCATTTAGATTTATGCCAAATAAGTAATACTTCTAGGAATGTATCGATCATTTTGTAACAAGTATAAAATAAATATTTCTGCTCTTTGTATGTATTAGGGATAACAAATTTGTGTACTGGTTTTTATAACAGTTCACTGAAAGGCTGAACAATCCTAACCCTAACCCTCCTAACCTTAACCCTTATGTTATTGGAAGTGCATAGTGGGGTTGGTATTACTTTTAAATACAAAGCAAAGATGTCCTAAATTTTAAACTGCATTTTTTCTTGCAGCCAAAATGCGGATTTCTCCCCTTTTCCAGTCATGTTTCACAAGATATAAAATATAAAGTTTGTCGTTACTGCATGCACCAGCATCTAAAGGTAATGTAAAGCTTAAGTGAATTGTAAGCTTTTGATATCAGAGTGGAATTAATACTCCATTTGAATATGGCGATTATAAGTCAAAACGCATTTTCCAGTTGGGAAGCCCTTTTTATTTACATTAATCTACCCTGTCATATAGATAGAGGGAAATGCTTTTGTTGGGAAAAGTGTGAAGAAGCAGAATGTTAGAAATTGTAACTTTCTTAAACTGGGAGGACAGGGAAACAAAAGGCATGAGTGGAAATGTCTGGAGATGTTGATGAACTCCCAGCTTGAACAGTTTTGGAAATTAAATTAATGGAAATTCGAGAAATAAATTAATGCATATTTAGGAAGTCATGCGTTCTGTTTGTCAACAGGTAGCAAAAGGAAAATGGAAACATCTAAGTAAATATTGTCCGCTAGATCTGTTTTCAGGGTAAGAAAGTATATATCTTATTTTTATGTATATTTCCTTCATTAAGCTTGTGTTATTCTTGCTACTTGCTTTGAAGAGTTAGCTGCTATATGAAATTTTAACAACTTTATTTGTAATACAGAAAGTTTCAGTCTTAATCACAGAGCTGCATGATATATTCAATTAAAGTTATGAAAAGAAGCTAAAGTACAAGTTGGAAAAATAATTGGAATAATTTTCAGGGAAAAAATGTGGAAAATTTGGGTCTTACAAATAGCTTCTAAGTAGAACTGTCTTAAGGATTAGAGTGGAGAATAGTTCCAGTCATAAGATTATAGAGTTAGAAATAAAATACGTGTTTGAATAAAATAAAAGATGTGTTTGAAAGTAGATCAGATAAATCAGAATGAACAAGTTTACTCTAGTAAATGTTTTTTATATTTTAGAAATGTTTTTTATATTTTAGAAATAAACAGCGAATGAACTTCGCCTTGAGAAACCTATTATATGAAGCACAGAATAATTTAAAAATATTTAAGGTAAGATGCTTTAAATTTTTCAATAAAGCTTTTGTTCTTCATCCAGCCTATTTCCTTTATTATTTTTGTTCTAGTGTGCTTAATTAGGAAGCAGATTCTGAAGGTCCAAGCTCCAAACTCCATGATTCAAATAAAACAGCAACCAACACTTTGCTTACTGAGCAAATTACTTATACTGATGTTGTTTGAAATAATCCTTTTCCCTTTTTTATGTTCTGAAAATAATTCAGAAATATGATTAATGAAGATAATTTGGAAGTTTAAAGTAGAGAAATGTTATAGAAGAGGAAGAGTGAATTGAGTCTGCAATTTTGGACAGAAGTATAAAAAATGATAGATCTAGTTGAGAGTTATGAAGCTCATTTCAGAAAGCATACACTAGTTAGAAGCTGTAAGAAGCATACATTTCTGGAAGTCTATGTGTCCATTTGTAACAGTCTTGGATTAAAGTTAAGCAAGGATCAGTTACAGCATGTTAGCATTTCTGTAATCCTTCAGAAGACACAGAGGTCAAAGATTAGACATACCAGGGTTCTTCTTTGTTTTGTTTTATAAAGAAATACTACAAGAATCTAAGTTACATATGCAACATGGTTTCATGTGTTTGAAATTCGGCATTTAGATGCAAGTTGATTACTAGTATAACCAGCCTTTTCATCCCAGTTGATCCTGTCTCTCTACTACAATTTGTGTGGCCTGATTTGTTAGGGTTGAATATGGTCTAGCTGCCATTATCTTCTGCTGTGGAAGGCTGGGGTCTACAAAGTATCACTGTGCTTCTTTGATAGAGTAATTCCCTCCTGCCAATTTTTTTTCAAGGTTTTCAGGGTCCTGCTTCATTCTCCTTTCACTTTCCTTCCGTCTTTCAGATCAGTTTCAGTCCCGCAACTTCTGTGCTATTCTTCAACCCAGCTATGTTGGTAGCAATAGCAATAGCATTTGGGCTTATATACTGCCCCATAGTGCATTACAGCACTCTCTGGGCAGTTTACAATATTTGCATATTTCCCCCAACAGTCTGGCTCCTCATTTTACCAACCTCAGAAAGATGGATCAAACCACTGCTTTTATATCTAATAGTGAATGAATACCTGATGAACATCAGTCTGCATTTCATCTCAAATTATTGCTGGCTGGCAGATCTACATTCATATTTATAAAGTTTTTTTTCATTACCGTATTGGTTGATTTCAGGCTACAGCTCTTAATTATTTTTGTAATTTAAATCTTAATTTTTATATTTAGTATTGGGAGAAAAATATATAGAGACTTTGATAGCTGCTCTTTGCTGTGATCAGGGGAAAAAGAAATATGAGGAAAGCAATGAATTCAGCAGGGTCTTAAAACTTCCTCTCTACTTGTTGCTTTTATTTTCCAAATCATGTATTTATCCTGCTTTAATTTGTCTTGATGATCAAGTAGTTACATAGGGATCTATTATTATTACTAGTTTCCAGCTATGAATTACTCTCAGCTCTCCAGTTGCAAGATGCATTATCACCCACTAATTTTAATTCAGATTGTCCTAACATATGTATATAAGTTTTCCCAGTTTTCCTTTTCAGAATGGCAATATTATCAAAGGCAAGAAGGATTAAATGAACGAAGAGACTAATTAAATCTAGTTTACACCAGCACCATTCATTTTATCTGTTCATTCCTTTCTGTTGTTGGAATCCATTCTTACTTCCACCAAGCCCAAACATTGTTATATATTGTTCTTTAAATTTTTCATTTGTTCTTTAATTTTCTCATTTGTCTTCGATGATCTCATCAACTTTATTCAACCAGGATTCCTCCCCCTTTCTCTGCATATCCATTATATACAGTAATACCTTTCATCATTCCAGGAAGCATTCATTTTCATACTTGCCGCTAATATCAGTCCACATACGTCTATAGCACTCTGTGACATAATTCTTTTCACTCAGTTCCAAACATAATCTTCCATTTAGTTACCATTCATTCTGTTGGAATTGTAATTTATCTTGTAATACTTTTCCTAATGGACTTATGGTTTCTCTTCCTGAAGTTTTATGTTCACCTAAATTCCTTTATTTTTTCCCTTTTGCCACACTATTTCCCCCCAACTTGAGAATATTGGAATATTGTCTGCCATATTCAGAACATTTTATTACTCTTGTATTCTTAACTTTTTCTGATTTTTATCTTAGTAATTGAATCAATCTTTTTTTTTTACTGAACCACAATTCAGTCTGAATTTTTTACTTTCCCCAAAAACTGATGCCATCGTTCACTGGACTGTAACTATGACTCATTTATGATTTTTTAATATAGACAATGCTGTACTTCATTTGTTAGATGGGCTAGATATTGGTATTTGAACACAAATCTTTTTAACATTCATATTTTATTGTGTTTTACTAATCTGGATGAAATGTTAATATATGTTGCTAATCCATGTATGATATGCCATATGCTAAGTAAATAAATACGAATTTATATCTATATATATACAAAGAACAATCTTGATGATAGAAATTCACACTTTGAAATACCTTTTAGCCTTTTCATTCATAATTAAACCTATACCTTTTCTTCAGTGCATGTTAATCATCAACCCTTTCCCCCAAGATTAGACCTTCATTCAAATCTGTTTTTCTCCTTTCTTGTAGTTTCATGAACACACAACATATCTGCATTTTACTTCTTTTTCCTTCATTAATTTATATCCTTTACATTTATTCTTCTTGCATGTTGAGTTGCAAAAAATACACAGTACAATACTAGATCGTTGCCTATAGATATCAAGCTCCAGTACTCATTATGGCTTTGTTCAACCAAGGCTTTCAGATTGAGAAAGAAAATTACCAGCCATAGTCACCATCTGCAGCATATTCTAATAATGGTAAGATCAGGACCAGTTAAGTTTTTCACATACTGGCTAATACACTGTACATTTTTTAAAAAAAAATCTGGTTTTACCCCAAAATAAACTCACATTATTTTATGCAAGCTAGGATCTTATTTTAGAGACTATCTCGCAAGCCAAATTACTGTTCTTTGCATCTCACCTGTGAAGTACAGGGGATATCACCAAAAGGTATAGTTGGGATATCTCATTTACAACAGTTGAATTATTTTTGTTATTATTTTAAAGCATTAATTAACTTATTTTCTGTTACAGAACGGTGAATTAATTTATGGCTGCAAAGATAATGAGGATTCTCCCTCTGATTTGAATGAACTTGCTTGCCACCTGAAACCTTTCTTCTTTCCTTCAAACGGCCTGGTCAGTGGGCCTCATTGTACAAGGACAATTCTGAAAGAGTTGATCCATGTAATAACAACAATTCTACTGAGTAATACAGAAACCTGTAAAGCAGGTGATTTGAAGACAGTTCCCAGCTCACAAGGAAGGAGTTATTGTGAAGCCAGTGCTTTCAGTAAAGAGCTAGGGCGGAATGGTAAGAATTTGTGTGCCTTTTGCTGCAAGATATCTATGTCAGTCTGGCCTTTTCACATCCCAAAATATATTATTTAAAATTTGCTTTGTTTTCAATTTTATACAGAATTTACTTTGCCTGCATTGGTTTGGAACATAAAAACTGGTGGTTTTTTTTTTAAAAGGATCAACTAGTCACTCTAAGATGGCTGGGATACCTTCTAGAGAGAAGGAATTAAACAGAAAGTTAACAAGTAACTGTTTATTATCTCTGGTTAAACTGAACTACTGATGAATACATATTACATAATAGGAATAAGCCTATTCCCTTTTTACAAAAGTAATGTTTTTTACATTTTGTATGGTGTAAAATAAGCTATCCAGCCTCTCAGTGCTATCTTTAGTTAGATTTCCTTTCTATTTTCCTTTGTTACTACTTATGAGTTAGATACTGAACACTACATTGTGACACGCCATTGTTCAAGATATTAATGCATATGTCACTGTAGAAAACCTAAAATGTATTTTAGGCGTCTACTTTTCCAATCCAGAAACACTTAAATTGGTTTCTGTCAACCCAATAAAAGTATTTGTTTCATACTTGGTGCCATATTCGTAATAAAATTATAATATGAAAGAGGTTATTCCATTATGTAAAATGTATTTTCATATACAAATTAGTTAAAGCAAATAGTCTGTTGCTAATTATTCCTTCTTCTGAATAATCAGAGAAAAATTGAGCGCATACAAAATAATGAAATATTACTTTTCTGAGAACATTTCCCACAAATTCTGAATGAACTTATACAATGTTTTACAATTTAGAATGCTATTTAGGATCATTTTTGTAGAACCTTCTCTTGTATAGGGAAAGACCAATACAAATATGATTTCACAGCTTTCTCCTTTGGAAGATTTCTTTCAAACTAGAGCAAGAAACTGAATTGCAGAGCTTCTTTTCCCCATTTTTGAAATCTCTGTAGAAGGATCATCCTGTTTATGCCCTTTGCTGTTTTTGATCAGAGAGATTGATACATCCATTGTAAAAACTGTTTGAAACTTATTCTTTTTAGCTAAAAACAAAATAGAGACCTCTGGCTTGCCAAAGGGATGTCTCCTTTACAAAACACTTCAGGCTCAAATGTTGGATACACTGGATATAGAAGGGGTTTATCCTTTGTACAACAGAGTTGAACAATACTTGGAAGAGTTTCCCAAAGAGAGGTAAGTGATACTAGGTTTCAGATCAGCAAAGTAGTATGGTCAGAGAAGACCTAAGTATGCAGCACCTCTTAAAACAATGGTATAATTCCTCTCAGTCTTAGAGTATGACTTTATACTTAAGAGTTAGTATGTCCCTGTCACCTGGCCCTAAACTGTACTTTCTACAAATATACAGAATCCAACTACAGTATCTCTGTTAAGTCTAAAATTTGTACCCTAAAAATTGGGAAATTATTCAGTAGTTTTGTCATAATAATGAGGATCTGATTTCTCTAATAGCAAAGCAAAAATGGAAATTGCAATTTCTGTCCCAAAATAGCTTTCCCCCAACATATCTGAATAAAAAAACTAGAAAATTTAACTTTTGGGCAGGGCGGTGTCTTCTTCCTTCAGTTTTATTTAATAACTGTCAGAGAAATGTTGCAAAGTGTTTATTATTCTAATTGATTTTAAGAATGAAGTTTTCTGCATTTTTCAAAGAAAATTATGGCTGTCTGCATTTGTTCCCTTCAGATGCAGTTCCTCGAAAGTGAAAACTATTCTTGCTACTTATAAAGATTTTATTTTTCATATGCTCAAATCATATAGGCAATATGCCTGAACTTTAAAGAAAATGAGAAGTGTAGAAGAATATTTTTTCTAATCATCAGTGATATCACAATACAAAATCTTTCTAATTTTTTTAAAATTGCATTTTTGTCTTTGTTTATATGGTTTATTTATTTTGTACAAATTTTATATTATAAATCATTTGGTGCAAATTCATTTATTTAAAATAAGGCCTGGTGACTCTGATGGCTTACAATTTTAAAAATGAAATAGCCTAAGTATACTTTCCAAGAATTTAGAAGTCCTTGGAGTAGAACAGTAGTACATATTTTATGCAGTACTGTGTATATAGAAAGCCTGCATACCCCTGTAAAATTGCCAGGTTTTTGAGATGTCAAAAAATCAGACCAAGATAAATCAATTTTTTCCACCTTTCATATAACATATAAGCTGTACAATTCAATTCAAAAACAAAATGAAATATTTTAGGGGGAAAACAATAATAAGATTTATCTTGGTCTGATTTTTTTGAATTGTAAAAACTTGGCATTTTAACGGTTTGTAGACTTTCTACGTACACTCTACATTATTTTGGGGAACCAATATAATCCATAAACCAGTGGGAGGCATTGGTATATGGAGAAGAAACATGTTAAGAAAATCTAATAGTGGGTTCTTCTTCCTTAAATAGCTCAGTGAGATCTGAGGATATTCGATGAACATGGTATGTTAGCTTATCATTAAATGTGAAAGTAGGGTGGTAAGAACCTTCAACCTTGAAAATAGCATGGCAGGAACTTTTATTGCTGTCATTCGACGCAACAAATAACCTTTTGCAGTCATGTCATTGCAAAATCAAAGGCAAAATATTTATTTTGGAGAGTTCTTAGTTTGCAGTGTTGCTTTCTTCATTGTTTCATGTAATTTTAGGCAGCGGTCACTAGAGGGGACAGTAGCCTCAATTGTCTCACACTTGAACTGTGGGAGCTGTGTTAAAGAAATAGCAACTGAAATAAATTTGTTGCTGTTGTTTCATGATACAGAATCTGGTTTATTTTCAGTTCTGGGACACTGCATTTTACTTTATTTTCTGAATGTATTTATTTTTTAGGAACATACTACAGATTGATGGGCCTTATAATGAATCATTCTATGAGAAGTTATTAGATCACTCAAGTGAGGATGATGGAACAATAACATATGCATTGACAAAGGTACCTTATTTTGACAAGACAGTTTCAGTTCTTCTAATCAAGTTCTTTACATCAATCATATATCTATATTTTGCATATTTACAATTTCATGTGCAAAAGCATTAAGCTTTTGCTAAAGACACAGGAAGATTAAAATGTAGCATGATGGAACTACTAAAGTTAGTAGCATATATTGTCCTTTGGAAAATAGAAAACAACACAGGATGCCTTGTTGACCTATCATTGTCTACTAACACCAACACCAGTTACCCTCTTCAACAAAATACTGTGGGATAAGGAGGAAGAAATTAAAAGGCCATCTAGGCATCTACTCTTAATTTTGTTTGGTGTGTAATACTTTTATTTCCATTTCAATTTAATCCTGTCCTTGAGTGAGCTTTTATTGCATTTACTTTCAATTGCTGTATACTATTTTGAGAATATACATATATCAAGTAAAATTGAGATAGAAATATGTTTAATAGCCTCTTCACATGAAGCAACATACTTAACTTTTTGCATAAAAACCAGTTTTTTTTTCTCTATCTAGTTTTCCTTAACTGAACTTACAATGTAGTTTTCATATAAATCCTTAAATATGGAAGTAGCTACACATACACACACACACACACACAAATATATACATAGGTATATGTACAGATGTGTGTGGGCATGCAACTGAATAGTGTAGTGGTTAAAGTGACACCCTTTGATGTTGGAGACCAGAGTCCAAATCCCAATAACTCTAACCCTTAAAGCTTCACCTGTTTTGAGAGTGAGAAGAACTACGAGTCATGCCAGCTTGGATGTCACCCAGATTAACCAGGTCCACTGGAAAAGTACCACAGTCTGAAGGAGGAACTAGAGAGGATGTGGAAACTAAACACCAGTGGTCCCAGTGATAGTAGAAGCACTCAGGATTGTCATTCCTAAATGGGGAGAGTAGCTCCAACAGAACCAAGGAACAACATCAGAGCTTTCTATCCAGAAGAATGTAGTGCTAGGAACAGCTAAGATATTGCTCAGAACCTTAAAACTCCCAGGCCTCTGATAGATGATCAGAGATTGAGGATGATACAAACCACCCATAAGGGTGAAAAGGTTTTTTGTGATTAAATAGGTGATAGACAGACAGACAGACAATAGAGATGGATGGATGGATGCAGATTTTTAGTTCTTGTTGCCTGGTAGATGACTATAGACTTGATTTTTGTTACAGGTTCAGCAGTATAGAGTTGCAATGACAGCAAAGGACTGTTCCATAATGATTGTGCTTTCACCTTGTCAACAAGATGAATGGTAATGTCTATGATAAATATTTTATTTTTAAAAACCCAATATTTATCTATCTGCAAGTATCAATTCAGAAAGTGCTGAATTAGCTTACTGCCTATATTTATAATAACCCTCCACACAGGAAAGGTGGAAAGTAAGTAACGTATTACTGCTCACGTCCTTTCCTCCCTGCAATGTAGCAGTATCGCTGTCCTTTCCTCCCTGCAATGTAGCAGTATCGCTGTCCTTTCCTCCCTGCAATGTAGCAATATCGCTGTCCACCTTCTGGGTCTGGGCTGGCACTAGAGTCCCCCATGCTTATGGTTCTAGGGTACTTTAGTCTGCCATCTCTGATTCCAGGGTTAGAGGTACTACAGCAGTTCATAACCTCCATGGCAGCCATTGACCTGGACCAACTAATTCTTGGCCCTACTCACACAGGGTCACACAGGAATATTGGAATTTTGTGAGATTTAGCAATCTTTAGAATGATAGTCATGAAAAACTGCATTAATTTTAGCACATCATAGAAGCCCTGGTTCTTGATGGCTACCATGTTTCAGTCAGCTGACATCTTAAGAGTTGCACAGTGGAAACTCTTCTGAAAAACTTTTGTCCGATATCTGGATAAAAGGTAATGATTCTGCTCTGCAGCTTTTCAAGATGAAATACATAATTTTTGTGTGCAATGTCCAGTTTCACTTAAAGTCAGATGTTTCATTATCCAAACTGGGTAACATTATCAGTGCTAGTAATGATGTTACCTAGTTGGGTTAATCAAATGTCTTCAAGAAAACAACCAAGCTCAGAGAGCACCAAGGACCCCTTGATTTCAACCCTGAGTATAAACATTCTCTTACTGGTATTATTTATAGTCCATTGCATACATAGGTGTAAGTTTTTATATCTCTGTGTAATAATCTGAAGGAAATGGAAGAAATATAAAACTAGAAAGGTTTATCTTCATGTTCATCTTTGATTTAAACACAATCACATTATTGAAAATTAAGATTATATTTATTTCTAGTGTTTATATACTTCATGCTTCCAAGTGGTGTACTAAAAGAGCATCAGTAAAACAATAGTGCATATGTCATAAATGTCAACAGTAAGCATTCATAAGAATTGAGCCATTTGTCTGTCGGAGCCAATAAAAGCAAAACCAGTCAGCCTCCAAGAGCCTTCTATCAAGCTTTCTGAAGGCCATGAGAGTGGGAGTCATCCTTTCCTTGGGAGGGAATAAGACCCTACAATGAGTATCTGCTTTCATGCCCCTTCCTATGAAGCTTCATAGTAAGTAAGAACCTTATTTGGACTGAGTGGACAAAATCTGTCTGGAAAGATAGTCATAAGCCCCCTAGTTTTGAGTCATTTACAGCTTTATACTTGGAGTACACCAGCAGCTAATGTCGGTCTCACAGCAGTGGTGTTATTTTGCAAACATGAGAAGTGCTTGGTTTTTCAGTCTAGTTTGTATTATTGATTCTGCTGTAAATTTTAAAGTCCAGACATTCAAAACATGGAAAGTACCTCTGGAATTGGTGTTAGCAGCCAAGTTGCTTTCTGGGGCTGTAATTATTAATGGTATGTTTTCAAATTGCTAAATTTTGGAAGCACATATGAGTAGAAAAATTGGCATATTTCCTGTCCTGTATAACAGTTGTAGAGATAGTGTCTTTACTTTCCAAAGAATTTTAGAAACAGTCAATTCCAACAATATGGGAAATTCGAAGATATAATTTCAATAATAGATGTAAAGCTGTGTATGTTGCTGTGTTCATGAATGTCTAGGAATAGGTCTTCAGGTTTAGAATATAGATGCATTTATTAGAGAATCAGAATAACTTCCTTTATTCCTAGGTTGTCAGTGACAAAATAAACTATGTGAAAATTGCTACCTTAAGATAAGCTTATGGTTAACCTCTCAATGCAATTTATTCACAAAGCAGTACTGAAGGTATAATTATTTAGGAAAGTTTGAAATAAAATGGTAGGAAAAGTTTCAAAGAAATTTTTGCATCACATTTCCCATTAGGAAAAACTATTTTACTTAAAACCACAAGTACTTTTAAAATGCATCATCAGCTATAGCTTGTCATCATTAGGGTATAGGTAGAATTTTCATATATGAGGATGAACAGAAAAAGTCAGATCATTTTTCCTTCTCTCAAATCATAATTATTCTTATTTAAATTTCAGCTCTGAGCAGAGGCCAGTGGTTGTAACATCAAAATCAAGATTCACCTTTTCAGTTTCTGTCCTGGATTTAGACCTGAAGCCATATGAAAGCATTCGTCATCAATATAAGCTTGATGGGAAGATAGTGAACTATTACCTGAAGAGGACACAAGCCAAAGATGACTCAGTAATGTCAAATCTTTTAAAAGAAAATGAAGACTGCACACTAGTCCTCCATAAAATGTAACTGGCTAAATATTTAACACAGAGGAAAATTAAGTTATGTTTATTTTATTATTTTCAGTTGTGCTTTCAATTTATCTACCTTTCAGAAACACAAAAAAGTCCCGAGATTGCCTTGAAGAATGCATTTATTGTGAGAGATATGTACTATTAGTTTGAATGAAATGACTATTCTATGACTGTAGAAGAGAATTTGATTGTTCAAATGCGGAAAACCAGTATCCTTATTAAAATTCTAAATGCAGCTATAACTATATATGAATTGCTGAGTACCACTTGTCTAAAATAAATAAGGTGATCTGATCAAATTCCAATATTTTTGATTAGAAATAATTCTAGATTCTTAATACTTCTTAGACTGCTGCTTGCATATGTATTGTCTCTTATGTTCAAAGTGATCTTATGTAGTTGTTCTCCGAATTGTTCAAAACTTATTAAAAAGATTTAATGTATAAAGAACCCCCCCTTTCTTGAATAATGATAAAAACAGTTAGCTCCCTTATTAAAAAGGAGGTTTTAGAAATTATGTAATGTAAACAGTTACTATTATAATTAGCTATTTTCAGCAATTCTCTGCAGCATATGCCTCATTAATATCCTTTTCAGTTGCCTAAGCCATTCTGAAGTTTCAGTGGGTAACAATTGAGAAGTTCAAAATATTCCCATGAATTTTCTCAATAATTGTTCTTTATTTTTCTGCCTGCATTTTTGCTTGACTTCTCTTTAGACCTTCAACAGTAGCCATTTGCTTTGCTAGGGCATACAAGTTCAGTAACAATTGGATTTTTTTATCCTGAGCTCAACATTATTGAAGTATTAAATGTTCTCAGCAAAGGGGGAATCTCTCTGTCTCTCTCTGCAAGGGTTGTTAGGTCTTTTTTTTAGACAAAGGATTCTTACATGCTGTAAAAAACTTGAAACCAAAACTGCTTCAGCTATTGAAAAATTGCTGGATTGGAGCCAAAGGTGTCTTGCACCAGAGAAAGCTGTACATCACAGGCTCTCGGAATTACGTTAGTGATGCAAAATCCTGTAGATGTGATTTTGGTGGGATTGATAGTTAAGAAGTGGGCAAGAAGAGTCTTCTCCCACCCCTGCCCTCCTTTATTTAAGAACAAGTTCTTCCATTGCTTCTTTGATGCATACCACTTTTTACAGCCTGGCCTTTAGTGGCACAATCTTAACTTTTGATGTTCATTGACTATATCATCACTAAAACATTTATCTGTTGGAAAGTATCCCTAAAAAACTATAATGATATTTTGTGTGGATTCCAATTCATTTGCTATTATGATATTGTTTAATGTTAATATTTATGAGTATCTCTCATGAGTTCTGCTCCTAGATCTATTAAGTAAAAAAATACTGTATTTTATGATATTTATTTGCCTTAATTCTAAATCTTGTCCTCCTAAGTTTGTGGGCTGCAAGTGAGTTGATGTTAGGTAAGGGCATAGTTCTGAAATGTGATTTGAATCTAATAAATTTGTAATCCACAATTAAATGAACACAACTTTTAAACTTATTGGTAACTGTGAATGTTGCTAAAATTGTTCAAAAACATTTTATTGAAATATTCACATAATACAAAGCATTTTTCAGAAAGGCTACCATTCTTAAAGCAAATTAATAGTAACTAGAGATATGCAAAGCATTTCACATTTCAAAATGTTTTGAAATAATAAATGACACAAACAGCTGTGCAGCAATGGGTATTTGATTTGTATAGGTATCACCTGCAATGTGCAATCAGCAATCGATCAAATTCTGCATCTAGAAAATGCATATAGGGCAAGATAAGCTACAAATCTTGCATAATGCTGTTTTGCTCACTGTTCTATGCAAATCTTTGTGGCATTCCATATGTGAATCCCAAACTTACCTCCAGAAAACAAAATTTATAATCTTGAGTAGAAATTCCAATTTTCTGCAAGATAGAACAATTTTGGGTTGGGCTGACATAGTAAGCTGCTAAGTTTAATTAAAGCTGCATTGGCAGGTATAAAATGAGTGCTCATTAATCAAGCTTTTTAACTTAGATTGTTACATCTTACTGTCTATAACTAGGAAGGCATGGGATGCAAATGTTCGCTTTTTCTAAAATATTACAGCACTTTAAAAGAACAGTGAAAATTTTACATAGCTACTTATCTACTTGGGTCACGTTTAAAAATATTGATCCTAGGAAACCTAAATATGGAAAGATAATACTGGAATATTTAGGCAAGTTATATGCAGATTGGTGCCATCATTTTTGCTCTTTTTTGTACCCATTCTTTATAGAGCATGTGGTTAATAAATTTCAGCTTATGCCTTGTAAATTAAAATGTCTCATTTCTATTTTATGAGCATGATAAACCTGATTTGCCTTCAATCACTGTTTATGGAAGAAGTAGTAGGTATGCTACTGTATGATGCTCCCGTAGCTTAATTTTAATTATTATCAAACTGTTCTGTATTCTAGAATCACTGTTACATATATACATACAGCTGTGAACTAAAACTGCCACTTTTTTTAGACTTGAATTTATCAGGCTGATCTGAGGAGATTTTAGGAACTGATGTAGAAGGGGAAAACCACTTTGATTCAGAAAGTTAATTTTTTAATGAAATGCATTCTACTTGTATCTGATTTGACATTTTGTATTTAAAAAGCTGTATTTATTTGTCATGACAATTTATATATATGTGCCATAATTGTACAGATAGCATGTTTTATGGATATGGTTTCTAAATAGAAGATAACTTAATGTTTATATTCAATAAAATGATAGATGCATAACTGGTTTTCCTGGTACTCATTTGCCTTTGGAAATTGAATTGATCACAGTTTCAATGGAAGCCTGTATCCCAACCATATGCAAGAGACTTCTGAAACCTTGTGGTGCATCTGATGCAAATTTGTTGGCTACTGTGCCTATAAGAGATGAAATAGAGAGTTAAAACTTATTTCAAGTACAAATAATCTATCCTTGGAATTTTAAACCACTGCTTTCTTCCTTGTCAGCAATTGGTGCCAGAAATTGTGTTGAAAAAAAAAAGCCTAACTGCTGCCCAGATCTTAATGGATGCAGAGCTATTTGTCTACGGAGATTCTCATCCAGGTCAGAGTTGTTCTAAAGGTGCTTTTTCAAAAGGCAATTGAACTTTTTGTTTTTTCCTTGAGGACTTCACTTCTCATCTAAGAAAGAAGGTCACTCTTTTGAATACAGCAAAGTCCACATTGAAAGAGGGGTCAAAGAGGTCATCCGTGTTAAAATTGAACAGCCCTCTTAACAGCAGGCAAGTGATACGACACCACCTATTTCCTGTTTACAACACAGTTCTTTCAACAATTCCAAGATTCCACAACTAAGTGGCCCCGATGACACTCAGAGAGAGTACTAATGATCAGATGACTGGAAGGAATATAAAACCTTCCATTCCCTCCCACTATTCAGTTAGAACTGAAGAAACTTTGTGAATAAGAAGCGAAACACCCTCAAAGAAAAAATAAAGTCCAGTTGCCTTTTGAAAAAGCATCTTTGGGACATGCAAAGCTACATTTCTCTTTAATTGAGTCTCTTTAATAGAGACATCTCATGAAAATTGCTACCTCTGACCTGACAAGAATGAAAATATTCAACCCACTAGGACTATTTGATATCTTTCTGTATCTTTGGAGTTTCTCCAAAAGGAGAAACTTGGGTGGCAGGCAACAATGTAAACATAGTAAGAAGATCGTCAAAAACAAAACTGAAGGGGTTGATTGTGACAAAATTTTACCTTGTAGTGGTATTTTGTTCAAAAGATCCAAAACTGGTATAATATTTCCTTTTTCATCTACCTGTATCTTCCAAACAATCATTAACTCGAATCTATAAAAGTCAGAAAACACAATTAAAATGAGTGCATACATATAGATACTTTCTCACAAAGTAGACAAAATTAACTGCATAAAAGACTTTATTTTAAATATTCTCATCTCATGCAAAGGCCATTTGGAACTCAGTAGTATAAAATATAGTGGTTTGAATTCCTGGGCTTGGTACACTTTTCTGGTGGATGAAAAGCCGAAAATAGTTGAAAACACACAGTTCCTCAATTAGATTTGGTGCACCCATATTGGCTTTTTTTGATTTCCCTTATTTTTTTCCTAACAAAGTTGTACCTAAAAGACAATTAGAAGTTGTTTGAAGGAGATTGGGATCTGTATCTGTACAAGAACTTTGGCTACTCAACAGAATTGGACCAAATTTGAGGATGGCGTGAGGCCAGGGGCTCTGGAGAAAAATATATTCTCCCAATTCTCCCTATGAGAGAGGCAGTTGGGCAGGGGTTCAGAAAGTTGCCATCCAAGTGCCCTTGTCATATGACCAGGGTAGCAGGAAAGCTACTCTGTCTTATCCTGAACTTCCTAATGCTCCCATAGATACAACATAGGCCTTTTGAGAAAGAAAAGAATCCAGAAGCTATGTTGTGGATCCTTTTCCTACCTATTTTTTAATGACCTTTATTGTCAGGGTACAACATGTGTACAATGAGATTGGCTGAGCCTCCCTTTGTACACCTCCCTCCCCCCAACACAACTCACACTGAGGACAGAAATCCCTAACTCAGTTCCAATCTTATTACACTATGTGACCTTGTTATACAATGCACCGGCCCCGCAAGTCTATCATACTATGTTGACATGAAGTTATTTTCCATTCAGGAGTCTGACATGCCACGGGTAGAAATTGTTCTTCAGCCTATTGGTGCAGCTGGCTATGCTTCTATATCTCCTACCCAATGGTAGGAGAGTGAAGAAGTGCTGACCGGGATGTGAGTTGTCCCTGAGAATTGAATTGAATATAAGAATACCTTGCTTTCTTATTTGGATTGCGTCATTTTGCTTTAGTTTCATCATTTTTTAGAACTCCCATCTATCTTGAGCTCCTTTTCCCATTCGCTTTTCCTGCCATGGAATTATTTCTTTCAGTGTATTAAAATAAACTGTTATTTGTATTTATTTTTTGTTAATGTTTTTACTGTGTTAATGTTTTTAATTGCTTTGTAATTTTAGAATAAGCAAGGTGTCCAGAGTTATTTATTTGAGTCAGGTGGCTGTAGAAATTGAATATATATATATATATATTTATAAAAAATCAAGATATAATCTTTCCTGTTGAACGATACCAAATCAAGGACAGCTTTTGTTGGATTCGTTCATGCTTTAAAGGAGAAATCAGAAATTTCTGGAAGGGCTTGGAAAAATTGTCCCTTTATAGAGATGCTGTAATAAAGCCCATCATCATTACTATTTCAGACCTTTTCAAAAGGATCTGTAAGTTGTATTTAGAGAGAAGCTTTTATGTGTCCTAGAGAAGGGTGACACCAAATAAACTCTATAGTATTATCAAGTTATATTAAATGCAAGACAAGAAAAAAATGGATGCAAACTAACCAAGAAGAGAAGCAACCTAGAACTAAGGAGAAATTTTCGGAGAAACGGTGAGAGCAATTCATCAATGGAATCACCTGCTTTCAGAAGTTGTATGTGTTCTATCTCAGGGGTCTCCAACCTTGGCAACTTTAAGGCTTGTGCATTTCAACTCCCAGAGTTCTAGGAGTTAAAGCCCACAAGTCTTAAAGTTGCCAAGGTTGGAGACCCCTGTTCTATCTGAAGGCTTTCAAAAAGAGAGTGGACAACCAGTTGTCTGAAATGATACAGGGTCTTCTGTTTGATCAGGGGCTTGGACTAGAAGACCACTGAGGTCCTTTCCAACTCTTATTATTATATGTTGTAAGTTTATTGTTTTGGATGTTTTAAAACAGTGTAGAGATTTTTGTATATAGAGTGCTTTTCTCTTTTGTGTTGATTTCTTTTCAGCATTTAAAAAAAACTATATATTTTTTAAATAATTGATTCAAAATGTTTATTTTATTTTGGGAGGTGTATATTTTGAATTTCTTTTTCTTTGGGGGAGTGGAAATAGTGTGCTTTCCCCATAAGCTATGGCTTTTCAATATTTTAAGCTACGCTATAGTTGATAAACATGAGAGCTGAAACTTGCTTCTATATGGCTTGTAAAAAACCTGTTTTCACGCTTTCCCTGAAGTACATTGCTTTAATATCCTTGGGGTCTTTGAATGAGAAAAATATGGCTACTGCTATTATGTCCCTGCATCACAGCTTCTATAGATATCTGCCCCCACATATGAATCAGTTAAGTTGCCTTACTCAGGAAGTTGAGTGCTTCTTAAGAGCATGTAATCTCCATGTGATCCTTCAGGAAGTGCTACAACATCTGGATACTTATTCTATTAAAAAAAAAGATAAATAGTATATTCTATACAGAAGTCAAACATAAATCAGACACTACAAAAAGTGCAACTCTTATAAGGCATGCAGCTAATTAGTTTATGTACAACAGAGCTAATGAAATTTAATCTCTTAACTAACAACTTTTATTGCATTGACAGCCCTATCATGAATATGTCAAAGGATTATTAAGATGTTTGCTTTATTTTTATTGGCAACATTGGAACAATGATTCACCTCAGGATAACTAAAACAGACTGATAACTTTGTCACTTGACTTCTGCACATACTGGCTAGGGGAGCTAGTTGTAGACATACAGATAAGATTTTATTGGTGCTTCAAAATAGATAATCTACCTGTACTTATAACCATTCACTTTGCAGTTGACTAATTATGTATCTTCAAGTAATTGACTCTTGATGACCACATAGATAAATCTCCATGACACATTCTAGCTAACATTCTAATAAAATTAATAGGATATGAGTAATTAAAAAAAAGAGTATCAAATAAATGTGAGATTTGAATAAAAAAACTTCTAGTGACTGTTCTATTTTATAACAGAAGTACAGGAAGAAAGAGCAGCATGATGGCTCAGTGGTTAAAGATGAAAGCTGACAACCCAGTTTCAAGACCCGAGCACTACACAACAGGCTGGACTCCCGTTCCTGCCCTAACAGGAGTCCACTTAGCAGTTTGAAAGCATGCAAATGTGAGTAGATAAATAGGTACCATTTCGATGGGAAGGCAACAGCAATCTGTGCACCTTTGGTATATAGTCTTGCTACCGCATGACCATGGAAAATGTCTTCAGACAGCACTGGCTCTCTCAGCCAAGAAATGGAAATGAGCACAATGCCCAAGAGTCGGACACGACTGGATAGGGAAAGTTTTATTTTTTTATAGGAAGAAAGCTTGGAGGCTGTTCTGAGAACTTAAATAGGTAACTCAAATGGCACACTAGTGAAAATAAAGAGGTTCCTATTGGGTAGCCCAAAAGCTGAAATTAGGTTTTGATCATTAGATTATAATTCTTATAATCTTGCTATGAAGAGATAAGATAGCGATAGGTAAGGTAAAGGTTCTCCTCGCACATATGTGCTAGTCATTCCCGACTATAGGGGGCGGTGCTCATCTTTCAAAGACAAAGAGCCAGCACTGTCTGAAGATGTTTCCATGGTCATGTGGCCGGCATGACTAAACCCAAAGGTGCACAAAATGCTGTTACATTCCCACCAGTGGTGGCCCTTTTTTTCCTACTTGCATTTTTTACATGATTTCGAACGGTTAGGTTGGCAGAAGCTGGGACAAGTAGCGGGAGCTCACCCCATTACGTGGCACCAGGGATTTGAACCACTGAACTGCTGATCTTTCGATCGACAAGCTCAGCATCTTAGCCACTGAGCCACGCGTCCCTTAAGATAGTCATAAATCAATATTAAAGAATATATGAGGTAGTGGTATACAAGACAATCCAACAGCTATTCAAAACCTTCAATCAACAAGCCAACACAATGTTAAGCAGTTAATATCTAAAGGCTAGATAATAAAGAAATTGTCAGTGAGCACATCTTAACAAGCTGGGTACCTCTAGGGTCAGAATCAAGTCTACACATTAGATATTGTTGGGAACAGTGTCTTGTGATCTGTTCTAGGAGGTGAAGGGAGTGAAGTTAGAAGGCATTGCTTTTCAGTCAATACTTGGTTTCAATAGACTGTGATACATTCATTCGTTTCATTATCTTCTGCTTATGCTGGGGTTTTATGATGTACTGATTTTAAGATTATACCATCGATATTTTATTTTTTAATTATCCTGCATATGCTAGAGATTGCCAAGAGTTGTGGGTTTACAACAAAGTACAAATTTAAGGAATGGATAGATGGGTAACATGGAGGAAATGGCATGCAGTATGGCAGCTGATGTATTAAAATAATTGCAAGGGGAAAAAGACAACCAGATAGGAACATCAGAGAAAGAAAGAAGGAAGCTGGCAATGGAACTGGTAAATTTTAAAGTTTAATGGAGCATAGCTAGAATTCTCCCTAAAAGGTTAGCAGTAAAATAATATAAAAAAAGAGATTAAATCCACTGCAATGACTTTGATTAAGGCAAAAGCCTTTAAGAAGAATAAAAACTACAAGGCTTCCAGACACACGTAGAAGAATGGAGATTTAAAATACACACTCCCAGGTAAATATGCCCACATCTGCATGACATTTGCTTCTCTTGGAAAAGGAAAGAAAATGAAAGGTGAGGGTCTGGGAAGAACAAGAGTACACATTTCTGGATAAAGAAGGAAAGGAAGGAAGGCAGTGCCAATCTGCCCTCCCAGCATAAGAAAAGAGAAACCAAATACAGAAGCAAATCCACTTTTCTCTTTCTCATTATTATATGGGAGAGAGGCAAAGGATTGTTAGGATATTCCATCCCATGTGTCTGATTTGGCTAAAATATTTTTCCACTTTGTTTCCTCTGAGGAAACAAAATTCTTAATTTTGGTAGGATTTTCCAGGCTCCATCTTTTATTTCCCCCAAAATTTCCAAGAAGTCCAGTAGATCATGGCAAACCAGCTGTCAGATTTCTCATGGTTTTACAAAGTTCCCATGATGATCAGCAATTTGAATGAGAAGATATTGAATGGATATTTGCATAACTTTGGGTAGTCAAAGTACCTTGCATGGAAAGCTCAGTGTTGGATCAGTTTAATGTTTGATTCCCCAACTCCTGCAGGAATTTGGGTGCACACAAGAGGGCTATCAGGCATCTGCTTTTCTGCCAGACTAAGATCTTTTTTACAAGCCACACCAACTTGATGAATAAAAGTACTACACACACACACACACACACACACACACACACAGTATAAAGAGCACTTCCCATTATTTCTGCCAATTAATTAAGCACTGTCAATTAATAGCAATTAGGACTTCGTTAAGACAAAGTGAAGCCTTATTGCAGAAGACAGAAAGAGATGAATAGTGATTATATACAAAGTATACAAATGATCCATCTACAGCAGGGGTGTTAAACTGGCAGCCCATGGGCCGGATGCCACGCCCATTCCAGCTCTGCAAAAGCAAAAAACATCACAATACGTCCGGTGACAGCAATTGAATTTGACACCTGTGATTTATAGTAGGTATAATACAAATTCAACTATACCTGTGTGTGTGTGTAATCTGATGGATTCTGTTCATCTTTTTCAATAAGGCTCAGCTTTTTTCAATTACAGATTGTTATTAAAAAGGCTGAGAAAGTCCTGGCTCTCCTGATTTGAATTACTAGGTTTACTTATCTCTATGATACTCCTTTAAAGGATAGTAAATAGGCAGAAAGGCAGATATGAACAAGGAAACTATCAGAATGCTAATTAATGACTGAATTATTGTGTGCAGCAAGGAATACAGACCTCTTATAGAGAATAATTATATATTATATGAATAATGCCATTTATAATTACAGTGGGCTGGATGAATATTTTCACTTAATTTAGAGTCAGGTTAAATGAAGAGTATTTTGAGCTCAATTTAAAAACAGAATCATGAACATTCCGATAGACCTTAAAATATGTTGCCTATGAATCAAAGTATTAGAAAGTCAACAATTTTTTCTAAAATAAGGAAATGCAATCAGCTTGTGTGATTACAACAAAGTAGCAATTAAAGGGAAAGCAACAGATTCTTCTGCTCTTAAGTTGGGTTAAAAAATAGCATGTTATAGACACCATATTTATTCTTGGTGTAGTTGAGGAAATGGAAAGTATGTTTAACTAGGCCAACATGTTATATCATTTGAAAATTCATTATTTTTCCAGAACCTGTAGAAAGCTTAAGAGTTTAAATAGATGTTCCTCAGATTTTAGAAACATTGCCATGTCTGGAATTGGTTTTTCCAAGCCTCACATAAGCAGTCACCCATGATACATGCCAAAACTAGCTTGCTGGAAGCAAATATATATCCATTTTGGTTTCTTCTTGTCATTCAAAACATTTTTTCTTGCTTACATCTTTTTTACCTCATGCAGTTTATATAATGTTAATTATGTTTTGGAACATAATTAATGAGCTAATCAAATACTAATTGCATAGCCCAGAGTTTTAAATCTTTTCTTTAATTTCCAAATACATGAAATGTTTGCAACTTGTAGACTACAACATGTGAACAGTTCAGAATAAACCAGTGCAACAAAGGTTAATATCATAATAGTCAGGTGCCAAAGATAAGCAAGATAATTCACTGGGATGGTGACATTGGAAAGTTTGCAACCTTATTAATCTCATTATAGGTCAAAGAAGAACATGAAAAGCTTATGGTTGTAACTACTAATCTTCAAACCGTATTCAACTTATATTCAATTTTATAAAGAGTAAAAGGAAACTGCCCACAGAAATAAAACTTTCATAGCAGGCAAGATAACTGGTGTAGATAATAAAGCTGAGCCCTCAAGTTCCCCTTGTCTCTTCACAAATGAACACAGGCTAAGATCTATTTTGGCCTATTATTTCCAGTAGGCTTACTTTCCTCAAATTCCCAGTTCCGGACTGTGTCCGGTAGCAAGTTTGTCTGGTTCATATATTTCTCAAGCATAGAAAAATAACTAATTGGATCATGAGAGCTCTCTCTAAGTTAAGGATAAGTGATGAATGCCTACAATGACCACTCTAAAAAGGAGAGAAGCCTAATGGGCACCTCAAGTAATGCCCACTTACTGTAACTATTGAAGTTGCTATGCATTATTTGCAATGCAAATACTACTACCCTCATAATTAGAAACATGTTTCTTAACTTGCTGGACTTGAATTCTCATGTTATAGGAATTATGAGTGTTGACGTTTAATATATCTGGAAGCCACGGCTTTGAGCCCGTGTTACAGATTAGAAACAAAGCAAAGATGTTTGATATTTGACTACATAAACTCTATACCACAATTTTATGTTTCACATGTCCCGACAAATGGAGCTACTGAATCAGCAACAGAGAGGAGGAAAGAAA